TGTAGCTATATCAATCTTAACAACATGGTTAGTAGCATCATGTGGCTCATTGGATAATAACTCATGAGAGACAACAAGATTATCATGATTAACCTTGAGATTTGTTTACTCTTCTTTTAGCATATTGTAGCTAGTGGTGAGCTCATTGTGTATCCCCTCAAGTTTATCATATTTTTCTTTAAGCTCATTTTTAGATGATTTGAGCTCCTTGAGTTTGAATGACATAGTTTTATGTTCTTCTCTAAGCTCAACACTAGCTTTTTCCACTATGTCATGTTTAGCTAAGAGTGAGTCATTCTCAAGTTCTAGCTTTTCATTTTTAGCTCTTGTCTTTCTAATAATTTTAGTATATTGATTTAGCAACTTGACAAGATCATCATATGAAGGTGATTCAAATTCATCATCACTATCACTATCATCATTGCTAGCATGATCATCACCACTACTATCATCATTATTTTGTACCTTTCTTTCACCTTTGGCCATAAGGCATATGTGTGTAGAGGATGATGGCAGTGGTGTCGGTGAAGATAGTGAAGAGTCAATCACAATAGTGGCCACCTTCTCGTTCTCACTATCATCATCGGATGAGCAACTTGATGAATCAATATCTGTGAGCCAATCACCAACAATGTATGCCTTGCCATTCTTCTTCTTCTTGTGGAAATCCTTCTTCTTGCCATCCTTCTTCTTATATGGGTTGTTTTTCTTCTTCTCATCATTATCTTCATCACTTGAGTCATCTTTCTTGCCCTTGTACTTTTCTTTCTTGGGCTTAGGACATTGATGAGCTAGATGACCAAGTTCAACACAATGATAGCAATCCATCTCGGAGATTGGCTTCCTTCTATTGCTAGTGAAGAACTTCTTCTTTCCATCAAACTTGACATCGTTCTTGTTGAGCTTCTTAAGCATCTTGGTGGTTCTTCTCACCATGAGAGCAAGACTTGCATCATCAATTTCATCATCACTTGAGCTCTCATGTTCAACTCTTGCTTTACCCTTGTTCTCTTGGCTAGCCTTCAACGCCAAGCCTTTCTTCTTGGTGGAAGAAGAGCCATCTTGTGGTGTGATGTGCATATACATTTCATGTGCATTGATCTTTCCTAATATTTGAGTTGGTGTAGCGGTGAAAAGATCACCTTGATGAAGCACGGTCACAATATGCCCATATTTGTCAATAGGGAGGACACTCAAGATTTTTCTTACAACATCGGAGGGTTGCATTTGTGTAAGTCCTAGCCCATTGACTTCCTCTACAAGAACGTTCAAGCGTGAGTACATCCCATTAGCACTTTCTTTAGGAAGCATCTCAAAAGAATTAAGCTTTTTCATGACAAGATGATAGCGTTCCTCACGTTCACTCTTTGTTCCCTCATGGAGCGCACAAATGTCCGACCATAGTGCATGAGCGTCCTTGTTGTTCCGCACACGGTTAAAAACATTTTTGCAAAGGCCTTTAAAGATGGTGTTTCTAGCCTTTGCATTCCATTTTTCATAATTTACTTCATCGCCTTGAAGGTTGGCAGCATCCTTAGGTTTTGGGAAGCCTTGAGAGGCGTCTCTAAGTATTCCAACATCTAAGGCTTCTAAATAAGCCTCCATGCAGATTTTCCAATAAGAAAAATCATCTCCCTCAAAGATAGGATGAGGTCCATCCTCGTGGGACATCTTTCTCTAGACGGTTAAGACTAATTTAGCGAGCACGAGGCTCTGATACCAATTGAAAGGATCAAGATGCCCAAGAGGGGGGGGGGTGAATTGGGCTAATTCTAAAATTCTTTAAAAAAATTAAACCCTATACTTAGCCCACTTCACCCCTTGTGCCTAGAATGTGTTTCTATTGTTGTACCGCATAAAACTTTGCACCCTAGGTTCCAATCCTACTCCAGCATGACAATTCTAAGAATATAAAGACAAGAAATGACTTGCTCAAATGTAAATGCTTAAAGTAAAGAGAGGGAAAGGGACGCGGCGATGTTTTGTCGAGGTATCAGAGAGTCGCCACTCCACACTAGTCTTCGTTGGAGCACTCGCGCAAGGGTGTAGCTACCCCTTGATCGGCGTAAGGATCAAGTGCTCTCTACGGATTGATTCTTCGACACTCCATCGCGGTGAATCGTCCACAACCGCTCACAACTTGAGTTGGGTCATCCACAAGCTCCGCCGGATGATCACCAAACTCCCAATCACCACCAAGCCATCTAGGTGATGGCAATCACCAAGAGTAACAAGCACAAACTCTCACTTGACCACGATAAGCCTAATGAGAAGGGTGGATGCACACTTGCTATTCTCCTTGCACTAATGAGGCCTTAATCTTGGATTCTTAAATCTCAATCACCTCACTAGGCTCTTGCTCTCCTTTGCACTCTCAAGGGTGTTTCTCAGCTGAACAAATGGGCAAGAGACCTCCTTTGGACGAGTGGAGTAAGTATTTATACCCCCCTCATTCAAAACATAACGTTTGGAGGCTGAGTCATCACTCTATGGGGTGACCGGACGCTCCGGTCATGATGACCGAACGCTCCGGTCAGTTATCCCCGCTACTGTGCCAGAAAGAGCCGTTAAGTTCTGACCGGACTCTGACCTACATCCGGTCAGCACTGACCGGACGCGTCCGGTCACAAAAACGGCTCTCTTGAACCTTACTGATGTTGACCGGACGCTGGCACCCAGAGTCCGATCACTTCACTGTTCAGCGTCCGGTCAGTTACCGGATCCTGACCAGCGTCCGGTCAACACTGACCGAACACGTTCGATCAGGAATCTCCCTCTCTAGAACCTCTCTAGAGTTGACCGGATGCAACCAGATGGCTCCAGTTGATCAAATGAACTGACCGGACTCACCCTTCAGCGTTCGATCACAACCAGACCAATGTCCGATCAGTCATTTGACCCTCCATTCACTTCTAACTCGAAATCATATGTGAATGAAGTTTGCTCCAATTGATCTTAGGGCTACTCCAGAGCTACCTAGTGCTAGATTTGACAAGTGTGCACCACTCCTAACCCACTAGACTCACCTAGGTCAAGCTACTAGTCCATACCCCCCTTAATAGTACGACCAAAGGAAAAACAAAGTCATAAACTACTCTAAGTGTCTCTTCAACACCAAATGACACTTAGAACTAGTCCATCCTTAACCTTGTCGTCCATCCTTTGAAAACCGAAACGATTTCCATCGTAGGGGCACGACAACCATGATTGCCCAATCAATTGCCATTACCATGACCTAACTTAATTGCCTCGGCAAAACACACGTTAGTCATAGTAATCTCGTATTGTCATTAATCACCGAAACCCAACTAGGGGCCTAGATGCTTTCACTTTCCTACAATTGTATCCCTCGGCAAGCCTTTTCCATGAATGGACCCAGAGCTTGACGTCATAGGACGGTACACCGACTTACGTGGCTCAGCATCATGTCAGTGGACGACCGGATGCCGAACCCTGTCACGTCAGCTAGGATGCCGAGCGCAGGAGCCAGCGTGGCACTGGGGCCCACAGAGCTCGGCGTCACATTAGTTACCGCAGACCCACAGACCTTGGCGCGGTACAACACGTCGCCGATGTAAGGAAAATGGACCTTATGAACCATTAAGTTTGGATTTTGGTGTTCGATGATCAACATGACCATTTTGACTAACAACGTTTACTAGTATACAAGGTATAGTTCAAATGGATGCAAGGTGGACTTGGACTTAGGCAAAGTGATGGTCCGAATGATTAACACCTCAAGCAAGATATTAGAAGCCATGTAGAAGTCCTGCAAGACATGCTAGAAGTCTAAGGCACCCAGAAGTAGAAGACCGGACGCAAAGACACAAACAAAATATTGAAGCCACTGAAGCTGAGACAAGAGATGGATGAATTGGACTTGTCTTATGATTTTGGATCTGCTCAAATTGACATGACTTCCGTTCAAAGTTGTAGAGGTTTTCAATAGCTTTTCAGAGAGTCCAAGATCATCAAAATCGAAGTTCGAAGCTAAAAGTTATGCCCAAAATACAAAAGCGTGATATGCTGAAAACAGGGTGTAGTCTAATGCTTATTAGTCCATTGCTCTATGAACCGAAATGAACAGTGGCACCTATTAGTGTGATACTACACACCTATTAGTCCGATGCTCACGAAATTAGTCCGATGCTCACAGAAAACGTTGTAACGGCTATAGTCATGGCTAGTTTTTGGAGTTGGAGCTATTTATACCCCTTCATTCGGTGTACGAAGAGTTAAGGGAAATATTACCACTACAAGAAATCTAAGGATATGTGACGGCCTGTTGACGTTAAAATTTTAGGTATCTTCGCCATAGCAGTCGTATTTATGAAGGTAGCATGACGAAGACCCATCTGTCATAGATCATGCGTGGTAAATCATGATGACGAAAATATATTCTTTCATATACAAGATTCATTATATATATTATAAAATATATGATTTGATATCGTAGATCTTAATATATTTTCTATTTTTACATAAATTTGGTGAAAACTAAAAAGTTTGATTTTGGATAAAACTAAAATTTAATGGTGATCGATAGAACCACTGGTTGATGGACTAGCGTATCAAAGTGGAGGTAGCAGTGTCGTGGCACTTACGCAATTTGGAAGCCGTCCTCAGTCCTCACTTATTTTGGTCGTGAAACGGGAAGTAAGTTTATTAAACCACATCGATCTACACAAGCTGTGGAATCCTTGTGCCCTGGCACGTGATATAACGCAAGCAATGACGTAACATCATTTGGATCTAGCAGGCAGGATCAACACTCTCCGTCGTGTTCTGCAGAAAAAAACTAAAAAGTTGATGACCGCCGAGTCTTCAAGAATCCTAGAACAACACAACTGCGCAGGCTCTCCACTCCAAGCTCTCAGCGTCACCGGACGCCGCAGCACCACCGCTGGCGGTGGGACACATAAACCGTTCCTCCCATGCTCGTCCTCTCTCTTCTCTCTTTGCCGTTCCTCCCGTGAGCCCGCACATCTCACCTGCGCGCCATGGGAGAACTCCAGGAGCGGAAGCCACCTGCGTGTACAGCCGCGCGGCCGCGCGTGCTGCTCCTGTGCAGCCCGTGCATGGGTCACCTCATCCCCTTCGCCGAGCTCGCGCGCCGCCTCGTGGCCGACCACGGCCTCGCCGCCACGCTCCTCTTCGCCTCGGCTACATCCGCGCCCTCGGAGCAGTATCTCGCCGTGGCCGCCGCCGTTCCCGACGCCATCGACCTCGTCGCGCTGCCGGCACCGCCGCCAGTTGCTGTGCTGCCTCCCTCCGCGCCCACGCGCGAGCGCGTCGAACTTGCCGTCGTCTCCAACGTGCCACGCATCCGGGAGATCGCGCGGGAGCTGGGCGCGGCCGCGCCGCTCGTCGCGCTCGTGGTGGACATGGTCGGCGTGGTGGCGCGCGACGTCGCGGCGGAGCTGGGCGTCCCGCTCTACATGTTCTTCACGTCCCCGTGGATGACGCTTTCCCTGCTCCTGCACCTCCCCGAGATGGATGCCACTCGCGCCGGGGAGCACCGGGACGCCACGGAGCCGATCCGCCTCCCCGGCTGCGTGCCCATCCATGCTCATGACCTGCCGACGTCCATGCTCGCCGACCGGAGCAGCAACACGTACGCCGGATTCTTGTCCATGGCCAAGGATGCCGCAAGAGTCGATGGCATTCTTGTGAACACGTTCGATGAACTTGAGCCCGCGGTGGGCGAGGGTCTGGACGGTCTGCAGCTGCAGCTGCCTGTCCACACGGTTGGGCCATTGGTTTGGACCAGACCGGCCGGCGTGGACATGGACCACAGGTGCATGAGCTGGCTAGACCAGCAGCCACGTGGCTCCGTGGTGTATGTATCATTTGGCAGTGGTGGCACGCTGACATGGCAGCAGACGGCTGAGCTGGCGCTTGGGCTGGAGCTTAGTCAGTGTAGATTCATTTGGGTTGTCAAGAGACCACACCAAAGTTCAACAATTGGAGCATTCTTCGGGACTCAAAAAGGTGATGAGCACATTCCCTTGGATTTCTTACCTGAGGGTTTCATGGAGAGGACTAGAGGGATGGGGATAGTGACCCAGTCTTGGGCGCCACAGACAGCCATACTTGGCCATCCTTCCATTGGGTGCTTCGTCACGCATTGCGGGTGGAACTCAGTGCTGGAGAGTGTAATGAACGGCGTTCCTATGGTTGCTTGGCCACTTTACGCTGAGCAAAACATGAATGCTGCGATGATGGAGGTCCAGGTTGGTGTGGCCGTCCGGGCAAAGGTCGGAGCTGATCGATTTATAAGGAAGGAGGAAGTTGCGAATGGGATTCGGCGTGCGATGGTAGGGGAGGAAGCTGAAAGATTGAGGAAGCGATCAAGTGAGCTTAGAGGCCAATCAGCGCATGCTTTGAGCAAGGATGGTTGTTCTACTCGTGTTCTGGCACAAATTGCAAATACATGGAAATGCGCTAGTAGGAAATGAAGAAAACCCGACATTTTGTGTTTTGCAGTTCTGTTAATGATCGATGACAACTTTGTGGTAGATGATGTATTTCATTGAAATCAAACTAGTCGAGATTATTATTTTTGACAAAGTTGCAAAGCCGAGATGCACATAGCCTTTCTTCTCAGTCGTGTTGAGAAGCCAAGTGGAAAGTAGTGGATCTCGCTTACTGGATTCAACTGAAGGAAGCAAAGGTGGTGAAAAATCTGAAAGAGATGAGTACTGTTCACATCCGGTAACAAAAAGATGGAGCAGACCACCAGACAACTTTCTGAAACTTGGTTGTGATGGAGCTTTCTGCCCAATAAGAGCAGGCCCAACGTGGGCAGTCATCAATTTATGCCTCAGCTAAAAGTTACTGAACAGGTAGACATTGTGAAAAACTGAAAATATCAATCTCACAACCCAAGCTATTTTTTTGCAATAAAAAAGTTACTTTTACTTTTTGCACAAACTCTCAGTGCCCTCACATTTTTGTAAAAAAAACACCGCTTCTCTCACAACCTACTCTCAAACTAGCTGCCTCAACTTTTTGTTAGACGTGGCTGCTGTTACCTCTGCAGGCACCAGTGACCCTCTGCGCTGGACATTTGGGGACGATGTGGAGGACAATGCTACAAGCCAACATGTTGCGTTTGGGCTGCCCTAATATGCTCAAGAGGATGGGACCATGTGACCCCAGAAAGTCAGATGACGTTATATGGGCCAGCAGGGGACGGCCTGGAAACAGGAAGAGTGATTGTGTAATCTGATGCTCTGATGATCAAGCAGGCAGTGACTAAAGGCGTGCTTAATTCACGTCTTCTAAAGTTTAGTCACATAAACTAGCTCCTAAACTTTAATTACCTCTTGTTTGATTTGGTGGACTAAAAGAGGCCTTTTAGTCTCTTTTAGTCAGGGTGTTTGCAGCGCCGGTCTAGGATTTTGAGGGTCCTCTGGCGAGCTCGTCGCGATGGTCCCTCTAGACTATGTATAAAATCTTATATTATATATGCGCTAATTTTACTTGTAAAGGGAAAGTAAATCCAATAATATATTTTTAATTTAACATGACTAAATTAGAAGAAAAACATGACTATATGAGTACAAAGTACCAGAAGTCTGGAATACTATACAAATAATTAATTTGGATTAAAAATGAACAAGGAAAAAATACCTATGGCCTGGACATGAACTGAAACAACTGATCGCAATTCACAAGAAGGCAAGAACCAAGATGTCGTCGTCGTGGAGCCCTGCCTGGTCCTGGTCGCCGCCGTCGTGCACCGTTCTCGGACTCGATGGCATGGCTCGTCGCCTGGTCCGACTCCGCATGTGTACGTTGGGACTCGGGCGTCGGCGCGTGAGCACGTCGCGAACTCGCTAGTCACAATCTGCGATCGGCACTGCGGAGCGGCTCCTCGCCTCCTTGGGCTGGCTAGCTAGTTCTTTGCCTCTCTTCTTGTTAGTTTGCTGATGCCTAATGAACTATAGGGCATGAGGGGTTTATATACCTGGGCTTGGGCCCCTCCCTGTCTGAGCCCTCGGCCATCGCACCTCATGCCCTCCCCCTAGGGCCGGCACTGGGTGTTTAGATAAAGTGACTAAAATGTGAGGCAGCCTGACTAAAAGGTGGGCTTTAGTCCCATTTAGCAACACTTGGGTGACTAGTTGGCTAATGCACTTTTTAGTCCCATTTAGTCATAGTGTTTGGGTAAAAGTGACTAAATAGGACTAAATTTAAGAGGTGAGGAGTGAACCAAATACCTAGTAAAACGGTCTTCTGATCTTAGTTTGGTGGGTGTACTCATTTGCAAACTAAAGGACATGATGGACTTGAATTTCACAAAGTGGATTTTATGCTTAATCTTAGGGATTATAATAAAGTAGCTCATGACTTAGATGAGTTGGCTTGTGTACTTGTGTTTGCTCTAAAGAGACTTATCTTCATATAGAGGCTCCCAAATTGTACTCTTACTTTGGTTGCCCAAGATTATGTTGCATCCTCGGTAGAATGGAATTTAAAGTAAAGAATACGTTGCATCCTCGGTATAATGGAATTTAAAGTTTACAATGAAAAAAAAAGAGCAAGTCATTGAATATACAACTCGCCAAAGGGTGCCTAGCTCAAATGGCTAGGTGATCCAGCGACACTCTTCAGGTCCTGGGTTCGACTCTCCGTGGGAGCGAATTTCAGTGAAGTTAAAAAATCTCCTCGTCCGTCTCTCATAACCAAAGCACTGGGGGGGGCACGGGCCAATTCTCACTTACGTGACGGAAAGCCACCGTGTAAGGGTGAGGGCGGAGGTTTTCTCGGCCGGTCCCCCCCAGTGCTTCTTAACCAGTGTAATCTGGATGGTATATATATATAAACCTAGGAAGGGATCCTTATATCATGGTTAATAGCTTCATATGCAATCTTCTCAAATAGAAAAAAAAACATTCTGCCATATATATATAAATGAAATAATACAAGTAGGGGCCTCCCCAGCTGCTCTTGCCAATAAAAAAAATCATATGCAATCAGGACTTTAAAATAAAATAATAATCACACTTTCACGTGAGTCTTGTTCCTTCATTTGGCACAACAGCATTGTACTAATCAACCCATTTTCTCCTAGAGGCACCAAACTGTGTTGGGTGTGAAACAGGCATCCTTCAGTTGGTTGTCTACCGTGTTTACAGCAACCAGTTGTACAGACGCAACAGGACATAAGCCTTAACTTGGATCAAGTATATACCCTTTTTGCTCCAGAACATATAATGCAGGGTACAGACGTCAAAAGAACATATAATGCAGGGTGCAGACTGTCAATCAGAACTAGCATCTTACACCAAAGGATTACATTAACATATTAAATTTGTTCAAAGCCAAAGATTAAGGTTTCGTCATCACGAGGGTGTTAAGGAAAATATACAAAACGGGCTAGGTACAGTTCTCAGTGAAAGAGTTCTGGACAAATTGTGAAATTGCTTTAACAGCTTCCATTTCAAGATCATGTTGATTTAACCCTCTAGACTCTAGGTACTTTTTGCCAACCTTAAAAGAGTGGTCACCGCCATCAATGACATGCAGTTCATTCTTGCAGGTCATCTTCTTGCGAGTAGACTGAAGTTTATCTAAGGGGCACAGGGCATCTTTACTTCCCTGGTAATAAATGTAAAAAAAAAAAAACAATTTACTATTCATTTCACTTTACAATATTAGAAAAAAAAGAGAAATTCCATTACCTGAACAAACATCGTTGGTACCTTCAGCTCTAAGAGTGTCTCATCTCTCACTGCTCCATTCACTCCCTAAGTCGAACAAAGCACGATGAGATGGAAAAAAAAATGATTCTTCCAGTTATAATTTGATTGTGATCAGTACAGGTTTCTGGTGGTAGCCTATTGGTAGGAGTGTGGATAGCAATCCACATGACCAAGGTCAGATTACCATGACAGGTAGGAACAGAAAACATGCTTGTTCAGGGAGGGACAAAAAGAATTTTGTAGTCTCATCTCAAGGAATGCTTTTAGAGCAAAAATATAAGTAATAAAAACATCAACACATAACGCTACAACATAGTAGGTGAAAAAGCAACTATAAAGTCACAGAAACTACCTTTTTATCCTAATAAAAACTACAGAGGAAATATAAATCCATTCCTAATCTAGACAGTTGATTAAGAGTTTTAACTGATAGAATGTAAAATTCAGGTACAAGGGAACCAAAAAAACAATGTGCTGACCAACCTTTAGTGGGTAACCCAAGCATACAACAGCAGAAACATCAATGTCAGTGGAGCTTGCCACCATGCAGCTAACCCTGACAATTTTGAATACACCATTGTCAGATATTCGTATCAGTGCAACATGTGTGTTGAATTGAAGCATTACAATGTAAAAGTATTCAAATGTTGAACTAAGCGAATAAGATGCACAAATGATGAAACAAACAGTAACATTGTCCATCCAAAAGTCCAAAACTACCTCGATCCCATGGACTTCCCCATCAAAATAAGAGGGTGCCCCTGATACTTGCCAGCAGCATCCTTCACGATGCCAAGGTGGTGATCAACAAGCTTCTCTGCCTTTGGCGGCGCCCTGCGCTTCCCACCCGACATATCTGCGAGTTCACATTGTTATCTTGCCATGCCACCACTTAGCTCTTGCTGACAAATTTTGATCCAAGAATCAAGGGTAACGAGTAGTAGACTGAAATACTGAATCAACTGACATGGGTAGTCAAAGGTCACTACGTCGACAGCATCCAATGCGTCCTGCACCATCTTCTTCCAACTAGCAGAATAAATCGCCAGTTTAGCACATCACGATACAGGCATCGCTTCCACAGGAAACGAATGTTTGACAAGATTCGATTGACCGCTTGGGCGAGAAATCAGAAACAGCTTACTGGACCATCCAGTCAGAGGAGGAAGGGGCACCAGCGCCGTGGGCGAAGACGACCACCGGCTGAAGTTTTGCCGTCCGCAAAGGAGGAGGTGGCGCCGGCACCGGCGAACCCTGATCCGCACGGCGGCGCTTGGGAGCCATGAGGAAGGTGATCCACGGGCGGAAGACACCCTAGATTGGGGAATGGGAATGGAGAGGCGGCCGTCTGAGCGCGGGAAACTCTCCTCCCCTTCCCGCTCGTCCACGGTTGCCCCGGGCAGCAAGATAAGCGGGACTCTGGCTAATCGAACTGTCGCCGAAGGCCCATATCACGTCAGGTGCGCTTCGTGGGCCGCATAAATTCATTTGTGGGACACGCAAATCATCACGCACCTTTTATCGGCACTTGTGTTTCCCCCAGGCATAAATTCCTTTCTTTTTTCATTTACCTTTACTTTCTTTTTTCTAAATTTATTTTACCTTCATTTATTTTCTCTCTATTACTTCTAGATATTTCTGAACATGGAACCAATTTATTGCTGAGCTGAACGCTTTTCTCCTGGACGGCACTAATTTTCTGAACAATTTGCATATGTAGTAGTATTTTCTAATTGTGACATTATGAGTGGGGCTCATGATTTATCCAACATCGTAGAAATACCTATATAATAGTTAAGGTGGAAATTTCAAAATTCTATTTATGTAAGTATCCTCTTTCAAATAACTAAGATACCTCAAACTATCAGTGCCACTCATCAATAGAATAATTATATTATATTATATTTTTGGGTAAAAAAAGGTAAGAGCTTCTCTACCCGTCTTCCGATAACATCTCTCCCAATGTGGAGTAGTGGCTAGCTCAATATTGTTTATGAGTATTGAAAGAGTTGATACAGCAGTATCCAATATATTTCCTCTAATACCGGATGTTAGCCTAAACAGATGCTAAACGATAAACGATGGCGAGCGATTTTGTTTAGAGATGCAAACAGAAATTTAAGGTGGACCGTTTAAATGGTCAAAAAATAGGAGAACGGTCTAAACGCCGGGACCGAGGTAAATAATTAAACGGGCTAAAGGATTATTTAAAAAACTGTTTAGGTGAATATCGGGTAAATATAATTGGGTTTTACATGCATAAATTTGTATACTTATAAGTTTATTATATTCATAAATATGTATACTTGATTTGTACATGCATAAATTTGCATATATTGATTCCTTTTACATGCATAAATATATATAAATATTAAAATAATTGATTTTTACTTGCATAAATACGTATAAATGCTAGAATAATTGATTTTACATTAATAAATATTCATATTTTTGGTAATATTTCGTAAAACCATTTAGACCATTTAAACACCATCTAAACCGTTTGAACGCTAAACAAAGGGTGACTAACTGTTTAGCATTTAGGGTTTAGGATAACACTACCAATACCTATATAAAAGATGGGGGTCCACATGTATGTAGAAAAAAGATGGTTGAAAAATGATAGTTGGGTGAGACCCATGTTATTGCAAAGAGATGTAGCTCCTCCTTTACTTGTGGGTAGACGAGAAAAATATTAGTGACCAAAAAAGAAAGAGGTACTAGTAGACTATTGGAGCAAGAAAAGAAGCATTGTGATCAATATAATAGTTTTATTATGGGGATAGAGGGAGAGGTCCCTTTGGACTAAAAAGTCTAAAACTCGTCCTGTTGATAAATCTTGAGAAAGCAAAATACTCCCTCCATTCTAAACTATAAGACATTTAGGATATTTTTGGTATGTAATTTTTGCTCTGCACTTAGATATACACTATGTTTAGATACATAGTAAACGTAATGTATCTAGAAAAACCAAAACGCCTTATAATTTGGAATGACTGCCTTTTAGCATTAAGAATTACTACCTTCGCCCTAAAAAGTATCATTATGGTTTGGACCTATGTCAAACGATATTACATTTTATAGCTAAGTTTATATACAATGAAATACCAACATTTAGATTACCAAATGAGTACTATTAGATGTTTTAATAAAATATATTTTTATAATATGTCTATTTATGTCAGAAGTGGTGACAATTTTCTCTATAAACTTTATTAAGGTTATTAAAATAGTTTGACATCGGACAAATTGGTTTAGCACAAAATGATTTCCCTATGTATAGCAATGCAAGAAGAAAAGCACCATATTGGCACTAGAGAGGTATAACAATGTAGGAAGAAATGTATTAGCTCTCTTACCTCGGCGCACTGGAGAGCATTAGCTACCATCTCGACCTAAAAAGATGGAACATAGCAAATAGCATGTCGCGACTCACCCTGCGGTAAAAGCCACGCGCCCACACACGGAAAAAAGGCAGCAGCGCACTAGTGCTCTTATCTGCATCCCGCACGAACGTGACTGGCCGGCCGGCCCCGTAACCGGCCTACACCATATAACACCCACCAATGCCACACTCTCCCAGTTACCAACCACTCACGGTCACAGCAGAATCAAACACGTAGCCCGAGCACCTCACCAACCACTTGTTCCCGTAGCTGACGCCGCCCGCCGGCAGCCGCCTCGGTTTCATCGTACACTGCTTACAACATGGCCCGCGCCGCTGCCGCTGCCGTCTGCTCGGCCGCTATCCTGCTCCTCCTCGCCAGCGCCGTCGTTGCCTCCGGTGCCGCCACGGAGCTGTCGACGGCCGTGCAGGCGACTGACCGTGCCGGCGTCGAGCAAAGGAGCAAGCTGCTGCCGGTGCACCACGAAGGTGCCCGGGAGGAGGACATCAAGCCTGGCAGTGGCAGGCATCGGAGGGCCGGCGGCGGCAACGGGGCAACCTTGGCCTCCGTTGAGGAGGAAGTGAAGAAGGTTGGATCGGGATCGGACTGGGGCAAGGCCAAGGTGCTGGACGACGACGACAAGGACCACTCCGACTCTGACTCCGGCTCAGATTCCGACTCTGACTCCGGCTCTGACTCCGGCTCTGACTCCGACTCAGATTCCGACTCCGATTCAGACTCCGATTCCGACTCCGATCCCGATGATGACGATGATGACCACAACTCCAAGCATGGAAGAAATCAGAAGCACCCGGCTTCCGGGAAGAAGGGAGGTCCGGGAGGTAAGCACGTTGACGAGCTACCCAAAACGGTGATCAAGGTGTGAGCTAATCCGTGCTTCTGCCAAGATCGATCCTCGATCATGGGCAATTAATCGTGCTGATCAGTAGATGTGCCATGCTTATTATCACTATGTATGTGGGTTTGTGTACGCGCGCGTGTGTGATTAGAAAATACTCCGATATTTGGACGGAGGGAGTAAGATGTAGTGCTAATTATGGTGGTTGTGTTGAGAAGCTAATGAGCAGACTGTACTGTCTATCTAGCTGCAAACATATTGGCCACACTTCAGCAGTTCAGCCTGCTCCTGTTGCCATCTGCTGTAGGATAATTCAGCAAATAAATATGCACAGGTTGCTCTGTTTCGTCGCTGACACGGCCATCAGCATGTGTTCGTCATGGATATTCTGCCAACAAAACTAATGGTACAGCATCCGAGCACATAGGAAATATTCAGATTAAGCATCTGATCACAAACTAGACTATGCAAACCTGTAGCTACGAAAGAAATTTATGGTTCCAAATCCGTTTTAAGATTGTTGTTCCGTAGGTCTGGGGCAGAAAATTCTTTGTGGCGACCATAATTAGAAAAGCAGTACATGGATGTTGATAAGCACGCAATGTGCTAAGAAGTAAAGGTATTAAATTACAGAAACAGCACACGCTGTCACACTACATGATCCTATCAAATAACTTACTAGTAGTACAACCACTCTATTTCTGTAAAGTATCAAGATATATAGTGATACTACTACAATAATCACAGTTCATATCTTTTTTTTTTGAGATAACACAGTTCATATCTTCTTATCGGGCAGTTAATACGAAATTGGGTTCCAAGAAAAATGGCAGATATATTGACAACAAGAGAGTGCCAAACTGCCAAGACAAAAAAGAAAAGAAAAGATATAGCGCTTTCATGTATAGATAGACATTTCATTTTCCATAACTTGATCCATTGAACTATCAGCTTCATCGGTAGAAAGTAGGATCTGGACAATAGCCTGCATGGTGAGCCTTTTGTTCCTGTCTTCCTCCAAACATGAAACAGCTAACTTGATCAGCATTCTTGATTGCCAATGATTCAATTGCCCATTCAATCTGAAGTCCACAAACTCAGCTATCCATGCATGTTCATCCCTGTTCAATCTGTGAACGAGTGTCCTAACAAGTTTCCTAATTTCCATTTCCGGATCATCATACACGCCTAATGCCTTGTCGGATACACGGGTACCAGATGCCAACTCAAGAAGCAAACTCCATAGCTATATACATCAACTTTAGCAGTGATTGGCAGGCCAGTCACCCACTCCGGAGCAATGTAACCCACTGTACCTCTTACTTGTGATATAATCTGATTAGATCCACTCCTTCTCAATAACTTTGCCATACCAAAGTCGATGATCTTCGGTTCAAAATTTTGGTCAAGCAGTATATTCTCTGGCTTTACATCACAGTGGATCACCCACTCCAAACACTCATGGTGAAGATAGGCCAAACCCTTGGCAACACCTACAGCAATATTAAATCTTTGCTTCCATCCTAGCATGATGTTGCTGCTGAACAAGACTGTAGCCAGCGATCCGTTCTCAACAAACTCATACACCAACATCCTATGATGGCTCTCTGTGGTCTGAGCAATAGCCCCATATTCTAACAAGATTCATATGATTAATCCTTCCAATGACATAGCTCAGACTGAAACTCCTGTTTCCCTTGCCTAACATTTTCCAGCCTTTTAACAGCTATTGCTCTATAATCGCGCAACATTCCCTTATATACAACCCCTGACCCTCCCCTTCCATGCTCATCTTTGAAATTTGCAGTAGCCATTTCCAGTTCTTTGTAACTGTACCTCCGGAAATGAGTAGATAAAACTCTGTATCCTTCTAGAGTTTGGGCTGGCCTCAAATCTCTCCTCAAAACAAAAAGCCATGCAGACGAGATGAATATGACTTCTATGACAAATATTGCAGCAATAAATCCATATAAATAAAACCATTTTGATTCACCTGAACCAGTCCTTTGAACATCTGGAAATAACTGTATTGGTCTTGCACTCATATCACAACATTTCAGAACATTCGGAGATGAATCAAGCACATTAGATTGTGGAATAGACATGTTTGAAACGTCAACACTCAGTGGGAGCTTGATATGGGATGGGAAGGATCTTCCACTGAAAAGGAGAGATTTTGGAAAGCACAACCCAATCCCTTGAACATACAGAAAGCCTTTACAGGTGCAATCATTCGTACAAATATCCCTACAAGCCCGAAAAGACATGGATGGAAGCTGTTGCTGATCGTTGCCCCAAAAATCAGTGTTCAGAAGCCGCAAAAACCTTTTTTCTCGAATAAGAAGCCGCAAAAACCTCACAGGCTGCGTTTCAAAAAAAAAAAAAAAAACCTCACAGGCTGTGCCGCACCACATGTGATATTTACAATAGCACTGCAGCCTTGGCTCCAGTTACCAGGATTCACCATTTTATAACCAGGTGGGCAAGAACATGAAGGTGTAGGTGAGTAGTGGCAAATTCCATTTGGACCACAAAAACCATGAATTTTGCACGATATAGGCATAGTGACCATAGAAACTGACCATAACTCATCAGTGTTATTCAAGCTATAAATTCTGAGATTACCATCAGGATCCAGGGTAAGCATTCTCTTAATTCCTGGACCTGCATCAGAAGCCACAAGTGCTTGCTGAACACCAAAGTCACTTGATAGATCTCAAATTCAGATGTGAAAACTACCATAGGGTAGCTTGGCCCTTGGCCGCTTGGATTGAAAGGAAATGCAATAGCTTATCCTGATACAAGGGTGTGTCCCTGATCTTATGGGCAGAGGGAAGGATCTACTTTCTACCTGCTTCAGCATATTTTCTAACCACTAAAGTGGATGCTGAGCATATTCCTATTACAAAGGCTTGGAAGCCAAGGAAAGTAAAATACAGAAAATTAAGATATAAGTGCTGCCGAGCACTAGGCTTATATGTCATTCTCTCCCTAAGTCTTGTGCCGAGCACTGGAAGCGATCTGCTGTAGCCCAATTCTCTCCCTCATCTCTTGGAACTTATATTTCTCCAGCGACTTAGTGAGAATGTCGACCAGCTGATCAGTAGTGGCAATGTGGCTGGCCTTGATGCTCCCGTTCTCCAAGCAATTTCTGATGAAGTGGTATTTGATACGGATGTGCTTGCTACTCTCATAGAAGACAGGGTTCTTGGTCAGAGCTAGAGCATACTTGCTGTCTACCTTCAGCTCAACCACATCCACCTTCTTGCCAAGGAGCTCTGCCAGCATCCTTGACAGCCATAGTGCCTGAGTTGCTGCAGTGGTGGTGGTGATGTACTCCGCTTCACAGCTTGAGAGGGCCACAACCTTCTGCTTGAGGGACTGCCAGCTGACCAAGCAATCACCGAGGAAGAACATCGTTCCATTTGTGCTCTTGCTGATGTCCACATCGCCGGCGAGGTCGCTGTCGCAGTAGCCGACGAATTGCGCCATGTCGGGGGGCCTTGCATAGTGAAGACCGTAGTCGAGGGTGCCCGCCATGTAGCCAGGATACGCTTGACGGCCTGCAGATGCTCCATCGTCGGTCGCTCCATGAACCGGCTCATGTACCCGCTGGCGAACGCGATGTCCGGCCGGGTGTGGACTATGTAGTGCAAGCTCCTGATCAGCCGCCGGTAATGGGTTGATTGACCTGACCTCCTCCGCCGTGCTCTCCCGACTCAGCTTGAGCTTCTCCTCCATCGGGGTGTGGGCCGGATTACAGCCTGTTATGCCACCGAGTTTGAGGATGCAGTTGGCGTAGTGGGTTTGGCGGAGGGCGATCCCGCTGGCGTCCTGGTGCACTTCGATGTTGAGGTAGAAGCAGAGGAGGGCAAGGTCGCTCATGTCGAACACCTTCTTCATCTGCACCTTGAACACCTCCACCTTCTGCTCTTCAGCGTCGGTGATGATGAGGTCGTCGATGTAGACGCCGACCAGTAGGACGTTGCGTTCACTGCCCCGCCACCTCGTGCACGCTCTGCTTGAAGCCCATCTTCTTGAGTGTGGCGTCGAGTTTCGTGTTTCAGGCGCGCGGTGCCTGGCACAGGCCGTAGAGTGCCTTGCGCAGGCGATACTCCTTCCCCTCTTCTCCGGCGACGGTGTAGCTAGGTGGCTGGCGCACGTAGACCTCCTCCTTGAGATCACCGTTGAGGAAGGCGGACTTCACGTCCATGTGGTGGACTAGCCACCCCTCTTGAGCTGCTAGCACGAGGAGGACACGTACTGACTCCATCCGCGCCATGGGGGCGAAAGCATCGTCATAGTCGATCCCCTCCTACTGGACGAAGCCACGCGCTACCAGCCGTGCCTTGTGCTTGATCACCATGCCCAGCTCATCCTTCTTGAGCTTGAACACCCACTTCAGGGTGATGGGGCGGTGGCCGTCAGGAAGTGGCACCAGCTCCTAGGTGCGGTTTTGCTCGATGGACTTGAGCTCCTGCTCCATCGCCGCCCACCACGGTGGATAATCCTACACCTCAGCATAAGTGGTCGGCTCACCGACGTGCGTCAGATGCAGCTGGGCGAAGAGCCGCTCAGGCTGGTCCGGTGGAGACTACTCTCCGAGGATGTTCACCACCGTGCGATACCGGAGGGGCTCATCGTCATAGTAGGCATCTAGGCGGTCTTCATCATCCTCCAGTGGTGTTGCGTACTCGACCTCCAGCTAGTGTCACAGCGGGCGAGGTAGAAGATGCCGGGGAGGTCGGTTGGTGCGCCGGAGAGGTCAGCTAGCGCGCCGGTGAGCTCCTGGTCGCCACCATTGGACTGCTGACCACCGCCGATGGGCTTCCGACCGCCGGCGATGGGCTTCCGAGCTCCCTTGGATTTGGTGAAGGCGAGAGCGGCGAAGCTGATGAAGAGGTCAGTGCTGGTGATGAAGACCCAGTTGTCGATGAGGATGCACCTTGTGCTCCCTCACCACCGCCCACCCACGCGTACTCGACGCTGAAGTCATAGAGCATGGCCGCCACCCGTCGTCCACCGCC